AATTTCAGATAAGATTTTTTAAAGCCCAGCCCAGCCATGGATTTGTGCCATCAAATACCCACAAGTTAGGTGGAATTTCCTCTCCTTGGAAGTTCCAAGATAAACCTAGGGCTTCTGTGCCTGTCAGAAAGTGACATTCTTTACTCACCACAGGTCAGAAATCCCGTACAGGGACTGTGTATATGAAATATGAGGCCAGTTTCCCCAATGGTTTTATTGGTTCCATAAGTTACGTCTGATTTCTTAAAGGAAAGCACAGGATTCCAGTCAACAATAACCAGTTCCTCCAGTTGTATCCTTTACAAATGAAAACAGATTCTGTTTTGTTTTGTTTTGTTTTGTTTTGTTTTGTTTTGTTTTGTATTTTGAGGCAGAGTCTCACTCTGCTGCCCAGCCTGGAGTGCAATGGCATGATCTCGGCTCACTGCAACATCCACTTCCTAGGTTCAAGCGATTCTCCTGCCTTGGCCTCCTGAGTAACTGGGATTACAGGTGTGTGCCACCACCCCCAGCTCATTTTTGTGTTTTTAGTAGGGACAGGGTTTTGCCATGTTAGCTAGGCTGGTCTCGAACTCCTGACCTTAGGTGATTCACTCACTTTGGCCTCCTGAAGTGCTGGGATTACAGGAGTGAGCCTCTGTGCCCAGCAAAACAGATTCTTACTGCACATATGCAAATAACTGTATTGCCATAAGTTCAGAATATTCACAAACAGTCTCTAAATTCTGGAGAAATCAGGTAGAGAGAAAAAAATACACTCTAAATTTTGTTCGTAGGAGTATGCTAAATTGTTAAAAGCTGTCCGCAGCTCAAAAGAAAAGTTTTGTTGTTGTTTTTGAGACTGAGTCTCACTCTGTCACCAGGCTGAAGTGCAGTGGTGTGATCTTGGCTCACTGCCACCTCCACCTCCTGGGTTCAGGTGATTCTTATGCCCCTGCCTGGGATTGCAGGCATGTGCTACCACACCCAGCTAATTTTTGTATTTTTAGTTGAGACAGCATTTTACCATGTTGGTGAGGATGGTCTTGAGCTCCTGACCTTTTGATCTGCCTGTCTCAGCCTCCCAAAGTGCTGGGATTACAGGCGTGAGCCACCATGCCTGACCAAAAGAAAAGTTTTAAGACTCTGAAAAACAAAACAAAGGATCAGCAAATATTTTAAGCAAAAAGTCAAAGAGATTGGTTCAGTCCATGCAGTTAAATTCCTGTCCTGCTTGATACTCATCAACATTTTAGCTCTCCATGTGTCCTGAAAGGTTTCCCTCTATTCTGATGTCAGGATATCCAAAGTTATAAGAAACCAGCATTTAAGAGTTTTATAGCTGATTATAAAGCCACCTTCTTTTTTTTTTTTTTTGAGACGGAGTTTCACTCTTGTTACCCAGGCTGGAGTGCAATGGCGCGATCTCGGCTCACCGCAACCTCCACCTCCTGGGTTCAGGCAATTCTCCTGCCTCAGCCTCCTGAGTAGCTGGGATTACAGGCACGCACCACCATGCCCAGCTAATTTTTTGTATTTTTAGTAGAGACGGGGTTTCACCATGTTGACCAGGATGGTCTCGATCTCTTGACCTCATGATCCACCCGCCTCGGCCTCCCAAAGTGCTGGGATTACAGGCTTGAGCCACCGCGCCCGGCCTATTTATTTATTTTAAGCCTGACTCTGTCACCCAGGCTGGAGTGCAGTGGCATGATCTCAGCTGACTGCAACCTCTGCCTCCCAGGTTTAGGTGATTCTCCTTCCTCAGTCTCCCAAGTAACTGGGATTACAGGGGCATACCATCATGCCCACCTAATTTTTTTTTTTTTTTAAGACAGGGTTTCACCATGTTGGTCAGGCTGGTCTTGAACTCCCAACCTCAGGTGATCCTCCCGCCTTGGCCTCCAAAGTGCTTGGATTACAGGCGTGAGCCACCATGCCCGGCCTAATTTTTTTTTTTTTTTTTTTTGAGACAGAGTTTTGTTTACCACAACCTCCACCTCCCAGGTTCAAGATTCTCCTGCTTCAGCCTCCCGAATAGCTGGGATTAAGGGCATGGGCCATGATGGCCTACTAATTTTGTATTTTTAGTAGAGACAGGGTTTCTCCATGTTGGTCAGGCGAGTCTTGAACTCCCAACCTCAGGTGATCCACACACCTGGGCCTCCTGAAGTGCTGGGATTACAGGCGTGAGCCACCTCACCCTGCCTAATTGTTGTATTTTTAGTAGAGACAGGGTTTCTCCATGTTGGTCAGGCGAGTCTTGAACTCCCAGCCTCAGGTGATCCACCCACCTGAGCCTCCCAAAGTGCCAGGATTACAGGCAAGAGCCACTGCGTGCAGCTTATTATTATTATTATTTTTTTTTATTTTTTATTGCATTTTAGGTTTGGGGTACATGTGAAGAACATGCAAGATTGTTGCATAGGTACACACATGGCAGTGTGATTTGCCACCTTGCTCCCCTTCACCTATATCTGGCATTTCTCCCCATGCTATCTCTCCCCAACTTCCCACCCTGCGCTGTCCCTCCCCTATTTCCCCCCAAAAGAACGCAGTGTGTGATGCTCCCCTCCCTGTGTCCATGTGTTCTCATTGTTCAACATCCGCCTATGAGTGAGAACATGCGGTGTTTGATTTTCTGTTGTTGTGTCAGTTTGCTGAGAATGATGGTTTCCAGATTCATCCATGTCCCTACAAAGGACACAAACTCATCATTTTTGATGGCTGCATAATATTCCATGGTGTATGTGTGCCACATTTTTTTTAGACAGAGTCTCACTCTGTCGCCCAGGCTAGAGGGCAGTGGTATGATCTCGGTTCACTGCAACGTCTGCCTTCCGAGTTTAAGTGGTTCTCCTGCCTCAGCCTCCTGAGTACCTGGTGTTACAGGCGCCCACCACCACACCTGGATAATTTCTGTTTTTTGTTTTTCGAGACAGAGTCTTGCTCTGTCACCCAGGCTGGAGTGCAGTGGTGCGATCTTGGCTCACTGCAATCTCTGCCACCGAGGTTCAAGCAATTCTCCTGCCTCAGACTCCAAGTAGCTGGGATTACAGGCACCTGCCACCACACCTGGCTAATTTTTGTATTTTTAGTAGAGATAAGGTTTCACCACATTGGCCAGGCTGGTCTCAAATTCCTCATGATCCACCCGCCTCGCCCTCTGAAAGTGCTGGGATTACAGGCATGAGCCACCGCACCCGGCCTAATTTTTGTGTTCTTTAGTAGAGACAGGTTTCACCATGTTGGCCAGGCTGGTCTCAAACTCTTGAACTCCCGACCTCGGGTGATCCGCCTACTTTGGCCTCCCAAAGTGCTGACATTCAGGCGTGAGCCACTGCGCCTGGCCAAAAAATATTTTTCTAATCTTAATACCATATTTCAGCTAGGACAAAATGCTGCTACACTAACAATGATCACACAAGTTATATGATTTCTGAGCGCTGTATAAGTATAAGCAGAAATTAACAGCTGGCTGTTAAATGCTAACTTTAGTCATTTAAGAGGAATTTGCAAGACAGAATCCCAAGCCAGTTTCTTACCTAGTGATGGGTCTCAGGCTGTAGATTGCTCTCTACCATCCTAGAAGCAGGAAGAAACAAAAATAAAACTCATCTTCCCTGTTGGAAGCTAGCTCAAATTCTATAAAGGAGTTACCTGCCTTCCATCATCATGGAAACAGGAAAACTTGCCTTCCTATTGGAAGCAAGTAAAACTCCAAAAAAAAAAAAAAAAAAAAGTAGTTATACAGCAAAATAAACTTTAGATCTCAACCAAATTTTGAGAGCTCAAGGATTCTCTGGAGGGGATGCTCCCAGACCTCAGCAAATTGTCCTATTGGTTTGAACCATAAAGTTAGCTCATGCTGGTACCAAGCACAGATAAGAGATTAGTTAAAGGTCAGGAACATCTCCACTCAGAATCTCCCCGTGGTTATTAAAATATGAACCCAGAAAATCTGAGATGGGTCTCAGTTAATTTAGAAAGTTTATTTTGCCAATGTTGTGGACACACCTGTGACACAGCCTCAGGAAATCCTGATGACGTGCACACAGTGGTCAGAGCACAGCTTAGTTTTATATATTTAGGGAGACATGAGATATCAATCAATATGTAAGATGTACTTTAGTTCCATCCAGAAAGGCAGAGATAGCTCAAAGCAAGCACACACCCCACCCCACCCCACCCCACCCCTGCCACTGGGGTCTTCCAGGTCTCAGATGGTGAGAGACAGATGGTTACATTCTTTTTAGTTTCTGGTTAGTCTTTCCAAAAGAGGCAGTGGAGGCAATCTATCTCTGTGAGCGAAAGGATGACTTGAAGAGAATGGGAGGCAGATTTGCCCTGAGCGGTTCCCAGCTTGAAGGGGCCCAAGATATTTTCCTTTCACACATAGAACAAGTGAAACCACAAATGAATGAACAAGCATGTGCTCACTGACAGCTCATACGCATGGTCACACAAACACGGTGTCTCATGCTCACAAGACAGCAGGGTTCACACACCCGGTCCCAGGCACTGGGTCCCACACTCATACCTACTTGCCACTGGAATTTGTGCAGAGGCCCAGATGGTCACTAAGTGAGACTTCACAAAGATGCAATCACTGTCCCAGAACATACAGAAATGGTGATGACACAGCCCTGACTTCATGAACACAGTGACTTTCAGAAACAGTTCCCTACAACAGGGATGGCTTCTCCACTAAGCACACTAGGCCCAAGGCCTAGGGCCACAGTACTTTCAGGGGCCCACAAAAATGTCTTTTTAATCGAAGAATAATATGAATATATTAATAATTAATATATAATAGCATAACCCAGACATGACCTCCTGGGCTCCAGCAATCCTCCTGCCTCAGTGTCCCACGTAGCTGGGACTACAGGTACACACCACCACGCCCAGCTAATTTTTAAATTGTTTGTAGAGATGGGGTCTTGCTACGTTGCCTAGGTTGGTCTCAAACTCCTGGGCTCAAGCAATTCTCCCGCCTTAGCCTCCCAAGGTGCTAAGATTATAGGCATGAGCCACCATACCTTGCCATATTTCAAAAATTTTTTTAAGGAGGAAAGGATCCACAAAGGTAAAGTACTTAGGGCCCATCAATGTCAGATGCAGCCATGTGGGGAAAGAACACTCCCTGAGCATAAGACACTGAGGAACCCAGTCTCCAGTGTCACAAACAGGCCTGCCCAGCCAGGTCTGCCCCCACTCACCCCCTCCAGCCTGGGTAACGACACCAAGCCCTGCCCTAGCGCTGACAGCGTGGGAGGGGCCACTAATGGCCCAGCCTTACCCCTAACCAAGAGCCCTTTGCCAGGGATTCTGAGGTAGCCCTGATGCCTGGCCTGGCTGGGCCTCCCAAACCAAGGCCCGCCCCTTGGCCCGCCCCTGGCTGGGGTGGGGTGACCCATACAAAAGCTCAGAATTTCCAGCAGTGGCTCCTTCCTCCAGGAGTCTCTGGTGCAGCTGAGGCACGGAATCTGGCCAAGCCCTGCTTAGACCCCCACCCTGGGGTCAGGAAGTTTGGAGGATGAGGCCCTTCAGCCCTGAGGTCAGCAGGGACAAGCGGGCAGACTGGCGGGTATACAGGAGGGCTGGGTTAACGTCTCTTTGGTCACTGAGGCCATTCGATCTTCCTCCAATGGCTGCCAGGATTTCTGGTGGAAAAGACAGGAAAGCCTCCTCCCCTGTGTCGGGTCAGCCTGGAGGCTGAGGGCATGGCTATCAGCCAGTCTTGCTAGAACAGATGTCATGGCTTCAGTGGCTCATGGGGAAGCGGGGGTGGGCAAGCTTAGGCCAGAGTGAGGCTTGTGGGAGATGGCAGAGGCCTGGTCTGAGAGGTAACTCAGATGGGTCCTCCAGCGACCATGCTCCCCTCCATCTTCTGCCCTCCCAGAGCCCTGCGGGTCAATGTTTAACGGAAACCAGAGCAGGGGTGGATTAATGCATGAGGGCTTAGCCCCCCAGCCCTGGAGAGGGGGTCAGAAAGTTTGCAGCCTGTTCTCAGCTCTGCCTCCCCTGGCCAGGTTGCCCTCGATCAATCCCATGCCATGGCAGCCCACCTGCTTCCCATCTGCGCCCTCTTCGTGGCCTTATTCGATATGGCCCAAGGCTCCAGGGGCCCCTTGGTACCCAACCGGCCCTTCACCACCGTCTGGAACGCAAACACCCAGTGGTGCCTGGACAGGCACGGCGTGGACGTGGATGTCAGTGTCTTCGATGTGGTAGCCAACCCAGGGCAGACCTTCCGAGGCCCTGACATGACAATTTTCTACAGCTCCCAGCTGGGTACCTACCCCTACTACACACCCACTGGGGAGCCTGTGTTTGGTGGTCTGCCCCAGAATGCCAGCCTGATTGCCCACCTGGCCCGCACATTCCAGGACATCTTGGCTGCCATGCCTACTTCTGACTTCTCAGGGCTGGCGGTCATCGACTGGGAGGCATGGCGCCCACGCTGGGCCTTCAACTGGGACACCAAGGACATTTACCGGCAGCGCTCACGGGCACTGGTACAGGCGCAGCATCCTGAGTGGCCAGCTTCTCAAGTGGAGGCAGTAGCCCAGGACCAGTTCCAGGGAGCTGCACGGGCCTGGATGGCAGGCACCCTCCAGCTGGGGCGGGCACTTCGCCCTCGAGGCCTCTGGGGCTTCTATGGCTTCCCTGAATGCTACAACTATGACTTTCTAAGCCCCAACTACACAGGCGAGTGCCCAGCAGGTATCCGTGCCCAAAATGACCAGCTAGGGTGGCTGTGGGGCCAGAGCCGTGCCCTCTACCCCAGCATCTACATGCCTGCAGTGCTGGAGGGCACAGGGAAGTCACAAATGTATGTGCGTCACCGTGTGGGTGAGGCATTCCGTGTGGCTGTGGCTGCTAGGGCCACCAATCTGCCAGTGCTGCCCTATGTCCAGATCTTCTATGACATGACAAACCACTTTCTACCCCTGGTGAGTCTTCTTCTGTAACCCGCCCACCTTGTCAACCTGTCTTGTCAGATATTAGATTCAGCCTTGGGGCACTTTAGCCTTGGGACATTTTCATCCATTCATTTTTTTTTCTTTTTTTTTTTTTTTTGAGATGGAGTCTCATTCTGTCACTCAGGCTGGAGTACAGTGGCAAGATCTCAGCTCCTGCAACCTCCACCTTCCCGGTTCAAGTGATTCTCCTGCCTCAGCCTCCTGAGTAGCTGGG